CTTTAGGCGATAACAATTGTTGAGATAAATTAATAAGTCGTTAGCGGCATTAAAGCTATTTAGAAATAAGCGGCCTAAATAGCAGACTAAATAGCAGGCTGAATAAATTATATTACAATCAACCTTGCGCATGATTAGTTACTAACAAGTAAACAATTAAGCTGATGAACGAAGTTAATGGGACGGTATCACAAACAAGCATGCATTTTAATTTACTAAAATAAAAGACATATGATATTGTATAATTAATCGGTAAACGATGCAGTAATTTGTTTGAACATTAGATTAAAAAAATACAGGAACAGAGGCATGGGATATTACGATGGATTAACGTTATTTTCGAAATTCCATCCCGATGGGGAGTCGTTTTATCCCAACGGTATACCCACTGGCTATTAAAGTCTACAGACCATAAAACCGGAAATGTAACTGAATTGTTTACATAACGCGATTTATACAGTATTCAATTACTATCGGATATTTTCACAATCTTTATAGATTCCTGTCTAAGTTTATCGATCATCTTTTAAGGAACATAGAATGAGTTGTTTATTATCCTGATTTATGTATTAATTATGTGATACTTTAAACACTTTAAATTGTATCATTATTATGTCATTAAAATAAACCAAAGATTTTCTTATAAACAGAATTAAATAAACAGATTTTAATTTTTAATATTATACAAATTTTCAAATGTTTAGTTTCAAAATATTGAAATTTAAAACACAATATATCTATTTCCTTTATCATCTATTATCTAATTAATATCTGATAATATTGGAATGTTCTATTTATATATATACATAATTGTAACACGCAATATAAATAATCGTTGTCTATCGAAAAGTTGAAGACGAATCGAGAATACTCTCAGATCATTAAATTCGTCAAGATATATTGACTGTAACGCTAGCAATTCTTTGACCAAAGAGTTTCGATGTGCGACGATCGCATTCGTAAATACCAATCGGTCTCAAACCATCTTTTCGGACTGACTTAAAAAAATCACTGCTGTCGATTTCAAGAAGATATATACTGTGTTCACGCCAGGAGGCAAAGACGCATTGGCGATTGAGAGGGAGTCTCAGATCTCGATATTCGACACCATGGGATGGCATCGTTTTCGACGTGGACGGCGCTGCATTCAGAAAAAGAATTTACAAAGAATGTTTAATTACTGTCGAGATAGTTCTCTCGCTCGCCAATTCAGGACTCCAATTACTTCTGCAGGCTGTCCTACAACCAGATCGGAGGAATTTTTACGGACAATTCCGCCGGTCTGCCCCTCGTTTGGGCTTGAAACGCGAATCCGAGGGAGTCGATTCTCGAGACCCCCATGTACATGTGTGCGAATGATGTTTATCGGAGTTTTTCTCACTTCTTTCAGTATAGATTTTCAATCAATCATGAGTACGCGAATGGAGCTAAAACCTTTCATCTATTGTACTTTAACTTTTCCAATGGATTACGGGCTACGAATTGAAAAAAATGTAAAACCAACTTTTACGTTGTTTCTAAAGGTTGTAAATAGAATAATAAATTTTGACGGTTAAACAAATTG